GTCATGATTAGTAGATGACCCCTATTGTTTTTGGGGTCACCAGGTCAAAGGTCAAGGTCACAGGGGCCTTGACTTCAAAAAGCTTGTCCGCCCAATAACTTAAGATTCCTTTGACCCACAGTCTTCATATTTGGAATGGAGGTTAGTCATGATTAGTAGATGACCCCTATTGATTTTGAGGTCACCAGGTCAAAGGTCAAGGTCACAGGGACTTTGACTTCAAAAAGTTTATCTGCCCAATAACTTTAGATTCCTTTGACCCACAGTCTTCATATTTGGCATGGATGTTGATCATGATTAGTAGATGACCCCTTTTGATTTTGAGGTCACTGGATCAAAGGTCAAGGTCATAGGGACTTTGACTTCAAAAAGTTTGCCACTTATTAACTTAAGATTCCTTTGACCCACAGTCTTCATATTTGGCATGGATGTTGATCATGACTATAAGGTGACCCCTATTGATTTTGAGGTCACTGGGTCAAAGGTCAAGGTCACAGGGACCTTGACAAAAAAAAAGCTTTTCTTCTCAATTGCTAAAGAATGTCCTGTCCGCAATGTATTGATTTTGACATTTTCACATTTGAAGCATGTAGAATACATAACTTAGCAATGCACTGGCTTAGTAACCTCAGATTTGGCAGGGAGGTTGTCCTTGAGCTCTAAATGGCCACTGTTGATTCTGACAAAGTGGTATGCGGGGGTATTCACGCCATGATAGTGGCAGTTCTAGTTTTAACTACAGTCATGATGTTGTTTAAAAATCTTTAAACTTTTGAAAAAAAGGATAAATATTTCAGGTAATAATGTTTTTTAAAGCCATATTTGTTAAAAGCATAGATTGCTTGTTCAGAATACTTGCCGATAAACAGCGCCATTTTGAAAATGAACCAAATAAAACATCAAATATTTGCAAATAACATCGTGAAATATTATAATATTTTTACATGATACAATTAAATAACATCTTTTCTCAGTAAAAATCAATTTCTATTTTGTCATTGAACAATGCATAAATTTTAAAAAATCTCATGAAACTCTGACCTATTTTCAAATATGAGCAGTAGATTTTTACCTTGACACCGGGAATGAAAAAATCCTAATTTCAGTGCAAATCTATAAAATTGTTACTTTTAAAGTAAAATCTGATAATATAATGTAGTATGAGTTAGTTTTTAGTAATTTTTTATTGATTTTACAAAACATTATCTTATAATTTGATTTTTGAATGGTGATGTGCTATGCCAGATCAACGGTCGGTCGATAACCCAATTACGTGACTCAACCGAGACAGCATTTTTTTGTAAAATTGGTCCGTCTCCAGACCATTCTATTTGAAAGACCCTGATTAACCTTATTCTATCGACAGACAAATGTCTTGTATATTTTGCAGGAACATAAAATTGAGGTATTCTCATTTGGATGGAGGTAGGGGTCAGTTGGGTCAAGGTCACCAGTGCTAAAAATAGATTTTTACACTTTTGCTCATACAGCCTTTGTTTATTGACATATTTGTATCATAACTGGCTTTGGATGGAGTTAGGGGTCAGTTGGGTCAAGGTCAACAGTGCTAAAAATAGATTTTTACACTTTTGCCCATACAACCTTTTATATATTGACAGATTTATTTCATATTTGGTGGGAAAATAAGTTGCATGATATTCTTCCTTTGGATGGAGTTAGGGGTCAGTTGGGTCAAGGTCACCAGTGCTAAAAATAGGTTTTTTTTACACTTTTGCCCATACAGCCTTTATTTTAAATATTGTTACTGACAAGAATCTGAGTGTTGCATTTGTGTTTAACAAACACATTCTTGTTTTTTTTCTGAAATTTTAATTTGCTGTAAAGTCATTCAAAGAATGCATAAATGTATAACTAACATTATTATTTTAACAGATTATTGCACTATTTCAAAAATAAATCTTATTTTAGTAGCCGCGATCTTATTTTCGCAAAAAAAGCTTATTTTCGGTATCAATCTATACCCCCCAAAAAAGGGAATTTTCAGTTTTATTAACATTCAATAAAAAGACTAAAAAACATGATTTTTTCAATCCTTTAAAATACATAAAACAACTAATTGAAATTAGACTTTTTATTAGTTAACAAGTTTATTAACTGAGTGCCTTCAGTTTGATTCAGTGTAATTTTATCTCCTTACTGTCATTATCAAACTCATTGATGACAGCATTCAGGTCATCAATGTTTAAGTGTCCATCATAACTGCATATTCTTAAAAATAATGTATAAGTTTTTTTTTCTGCGGGCTCCAAAGTCTGCGTTTTTTTCAAATTTTGACATGTTTTTATTTCTGCGGACTTTATTTCTGCAGTACATTCTTTGGACAAACGTGATTTAAATTCTGCGACTCGTCTTATCAAAGTCTAAGTCACATTACTCTACCTATTTTATTTGCATGTACACATTCGCATTTGTTTATCGTCGTCACCGCAAAACTGTATAATAATTACAAACAGTTATACTGTAAGCTTGCAAACAAATATAATGCACAACAATAGAAAGGAATGGCGTGTGAAAAATATACCCCAGTAGCATAATCAGTGTTAGTCGTTATAACTTAAACGAAACGGGTCATAAATGATAATGTAGGACAAATATCGTAGCAAGTTAGAGAAATATTCTTAATTTTTTTTCTGTAGTGTTGAAACTGACAGCAGAAAACGCAGAAATAAAAAAACACTTATAAGGTACATAGATTTAGATAAAAATAAATGAATATTGCACTTTTAATGATGATAAAATTTAAATTATCATTTGTAATAGTAAATGTCCAATCAAATCATCATATCAAACTATAATAAACTTTTTTCCCCCGATATCTCAATTAATCATTCATAATGATGCACCAAATATTTCATTTCTTTGTCTTATAATATAATAGTTATTTGATGTATTCAATATGTTCTGATTTTTACCCAATTTGTCTAAAACATTGTAAAAATTTCCAATTCTGGGGGTTGGGTCATGTTGCCAAAGTGCTAATACACAGGTCACATATTCAAGGAATACGCCCACGGAAGAGCCACGGATTAATTCCGGCATCGTCCGTAGCTACCCATACTGGTCAGTAGCTCTCCGTCTTGTAACCGTAATCAATCGTAGTAGTCCTTGTATATGCGTAGCGATCCTTGACAATTTTTGAACATGCACACAAATTTGCTACGGAAAAATCAACCGTAGCGTGTCCCTGCTAGTCCGTATTAAACCGTACTGATACGTACTCAGGTCCGTACGAAAACCATACTAGTCTGTAGTCAATCAACTTGTCTAGGATTTCCACGGTTTGGTACGGAGAACTACGTATTTGTACGGTTACCCTACGTATAAGCTACGGTTTTAATACAGATAAATACGGCATTGTCACGGAAAGCCACGATCGTAATACGTTGTGCTGCGGGGAGGCAAGGATTAGCACGGTCTTATACGGTTTATTGCGTTGCAACACGAAACGGTACGGAATGGTACGGTCCACCACTGTTCAGTACGGATGAATTAAGTATCATGTACTTTTTCAAGGGTATAAATACTACTTGTTAAAAACAGACATATTTGCGGGAACATTCAATAAATGATAATTGCAATTTACTGGCTGCAACTTTATATTGAAATGGCTCAGAATGCGGAGTCAGTGGTGGAGCTGCTTGATGACATGCATAGAAGTAAATTTATATTAATACCATACTACAATTCATAAGTAATAGAATAACATTCAATGTTACATATTTTAAAAACATTGGATCGTGAAATTGGAGTAAACGAAGTGCTCGTAAGCCTCGGACGCTGGCCCTTGAGTGATAATAAGATTGATTAACAAGCTTTTTACATATTTTTAAAACATAAACATTCACGATTATTAATGTAATTGTAAAATAAACAGCAACTCTTATAATTGAAAGAGAAGCAGTATTGATCAACATTTTTCATTAATGATTACTAGTCCATATCTAATCAGGTAAGAGAAGACAGACGAGTTGGTGGGCTATATAGAGATGGGCTTTTACAAAGACTGCTTCATGTTTAGTATGAAGCTCTCATGGACGAACTTGTTGAGGATCCAGCATTCTTCAAGAAATTCACTTTAATTAGACCTGATGTGTCTCGTGGGTCGGACGCGATTAGGCCGAATCCTCTTCGCCAATATCATTGAACTCTGCAATTCGTTTTTCTAGGTGTTCTTTTCTTGTGAGGCATTTTGAAAATGAGCAAGCAAGAGGTTGTGGACAGATGTATAAGGTCCGTATAGATCCGTGGCAATTCGTTCTTCTCCGTATCAATTTGTTCTTCTCCGTATCAGACCGTACTTATTCGTACTAACCCGTGCTTATACCGTAGCAGACCGTAGTGTATCCGTAGTGCGTCTGTCCTGATTCGTGACGCTCTGTATCAAACCTTGTCGGTCCGTAACAATCCGTGTCTCTCCGGGGGCTTTTGGTGGTAAATCAGTCGGACTCTGTGCTCATACCGTTGTGTGTCCGTACTGGAACCGTAGCGGACTACGGAATTTCACATTTCTGTAGTAATCCGTGAATGATTAGACCGTAGCTCTTCTGTGGCATTATGCCTGAATATGTGACCGGGGCATAAGACAAAAACTCTTAACTCTAACAGTTAGTGAAATAATATACCAGTGTTGTTTTTTTGTTCAGTTATTATTATTGAAATTACAAAGAGTAAAAGCCATGGTCAAATTGCCCATTCTTCATATTGTGTTATTAAACTATTAATTGAGCCGCGTCATGACAAAACCAACATAATGGGTTTGCGACCAGCATGGATCCAGACCAACCTGCCCATCCGCGCAGTCTGATCAGGATCAATGCTGTTCGCTTACAACCCCTATTACAAGTAGAGAAACTGATAGCGAACAGCAGGGATCCTGATCAGACTGCGCGGATGCACAGGCTGGTCTGGATCCATGCTGGTCGCAAACCTATTATGTTGGTTTTGTCGTGACACGGCTCAATTACGTTTTTTATTTGCAGGCAGCTATGACGACTGGTGATATATCCAACAATATTAGGAAGATGAGATCTAGACTGAAAGAAATAAAATACAGTGACACCTTTGATGTCAATTTGTAAGTTTTTACTTCTCCCTACGTGTTAACAGTGATTTATATCACAAGTTTCAAAACAACCTGTGCTTTTCTGAAGAAGAAAATATAGAATGATTAATCCAAAAAGGGGGAAAACCTGAAATCATATTTCCAACAACTGAGAATTGAATATACCCACATTTTTTTTTTGTGTATAAAAAAATCAATTTCAGTTGAATTTATCATGTATGGTACACTAAAGGGACAGCTTTCAGTGAATTAAATTTATCACCTAGCTCCTTTTAAGTCATGATTCTTGTGAAGAATATGTACAGGGCATTTTATGGGGAAATTTATAACATTTTTAGGGGAAAATATACCTATTTTGGGCTAGGGAAAGCTGCTATTATTCAGCTGTAAAATATAAAAGGTAAAAACACTTGTGCTATATCGAGCTAACATGTGACTGATCAGAAGATCTACACCGGTCTACTCAGATATTTCGGACCTTTGTCTGTCAAAGGGCTGTCATTGATGGAACATTTATATATATATTTTATATATCGAGAGACAAATATCGAAGATATATTAGTATCAATATATCAACTTTGACAGTAGATACAAAGAAAAACATTTGGATATGTGTTATAAATTTGGATCATGGTGTAATGCATGCTTGTATAAGACATTACAAATACTACAAATTAACAGACAGTTTGTGTTTTGTGTGTAATTTTTGTGACTGACATTTGAAAACAGAGTTTATAATTTAGGTTAGCTAAGAAAACTGGAAAAAAGTGACTTCACTTATTAGGCAAATTAGAGAGGTATATTTAATAACAGAAATAAGTAAAATTTTAGCTTGTATCGATATTGTGTGTTTGATATTGTATCGGATGATGAATATCAATGATATATTGATATTGCAATATTTAATGACAACCCTAGTCTGTGATGGCATCTGGATTTACTTGAAGTCATAGTTTTGTCTGTGTTACCTGCTTTTGAATTTTCCATTTGGTATATGTTGATGGATATTGTGTCATGTTCCCAATATGAAAAAATGTGTTTTCACAATTTCAATGTGAAAAATCCTATCTCAAGGAACAAAAAATACAATACGGAAGTATTATGGTTACATTTAACTGCACTGTGCCATAGAAAATTGTAATTTTGTTTTTCAAATAGTAAAGTGTGCCTATGAGTTTAATTAACCAAATATTTGATTTCTTTATCTTATCTGGTTATACCATATGTTGTAAGTTTTTCCCAATTAGTCTAAAATATCTCTAAAATTCCCAATTCTGGGGGGGTCATGTTCTTAGTGCTTAGAAAAAGGGCTTTGTATGTATATGTACTTTCAAATTTCTGCAGACTAGCTGAGGGACAACCGGCTGCCTATCTCCCAATCTACCACTACGCCTTCACCAACTATAGTCAACCATTAGCTCAGCTTATTCTTGACAAAGGTATTGAGCTCTTTGGAAAATCTGATGCTAGATTTATGGAAGCAGTGTATAAAGTGAGTATTTTCTTATTAACATCTAATTATTAATTACTCTACTCTTATTAGACTCTTGACAGGTTATAATTATATATGGGCCAGCATAAATGTTTTTCTCTACAAACATCAGTCTGTTCATGTTTATTGTAATGATAAAAAAAGTAAATGGCTTTATTATGATCAAGTGACTGTGATACATTTTTATTTCCTAGATCATAATCTTCTTATCAGAAACACTAACACAGTCTAGTGACTGTGATAAATTTTCATTATTCTGATCATATCTTTTTATCACAGAAACACTAACACAGTCTAAAATTGTTTGATTCTGCTTCTCTATAAAATGTCAAACTACATATCATATTTTTTTTCTTTCATGTTTATTTCAGATATTGAGAGACGTTTTTGTATACAAGCCACCAATTACAAAAGAACAGTTTTTTGCGAAAGGATTTGCGGAAAGGAAAGTTATCATGTGTGCCGACATACTACAGCTTGTGAAACAAAAACACAAAGAGTTAAAACCAGCGCCACCTAAAACAGCTATGAAGGTAATTCTTTATCTTGATTTTGTTTGTAAATTATTGCCAGTAACAAATCAGTAGCAAATAACCATTTCAAACTATCAATGTTCATATTTACAAAATTAGTTGAAAATGGATTAGACTTGATTTTATTTGGCTGATGAATTCTCTCCTGAGAGAAATTGTCTTCTTTGAGCATTTAAATTTGTAGTACAAAATAAGAAATTCATCGGAAAAAAATAACACTGTTAATGAGTTTAAAACTTGTGCCTTGTGGGTTGAAATCATGAATTGATGAAGTTGAAATTGTGAATTTGTGAAGATAAACCAGAGAATTCAAGAAGTTGAAATTTGTCACCACTGGTCAGGTCTTTTGTAGAAATATCCACATTTGCTGATCTGTATCTTATGGTATCTGTATCTTATGGTGTAAGAATATTTTTAAAATAAATTCAACAGGAAGAATAATTATAATATACTGTTTTTCAGACAAGTGTAAGACCGAAGTCAGCTGCTGAGACAAAGGCGTTACCTCTAGGTAATATATAAAATAATTGCTATAGATGTGTATAGAGGTTTTTATACCTATAAAACAGGCTTAGCTATCGGACCTTTCCCTGGTGTCAAATAATTAAATTTTTCCCATCTACAAGAACTAATTCTAAAACCTCCAAATTAAGGCTTAAAACATTTTTTTTTTACCACACATTGTGTTTTATACAGTAATAGAGTTTGAGGTGAACAAGTGATGTTTAAAGTGGATTGGTCTACAAATAAACAAATTTTCCGCAAGTATTTCAAATATTGCCAAGAACAACAGAAATGTCTCTATTGGATATTCTAAAGAAATAGTTTTTGAGAAAAAAAAAGATGCTGATAGAGTTCTAAGTGATTTAATACAAACTTTATGATGATAATTTTTTGTCCTAGAACAATTTAGTATACATGTATATAGAGGATATTGAATGAGTAATAACTTTATTGAACTATTTGAATAAAGTTGTGTTACGTGCGCCTCTGGCGAGTTCAATAAATTCAGTAATGAACTTACACAAATTTAATACTCTATTTATTATATATCTGAAAGAAAGACTGTTTAAAGTGAAAAAGAGTCATTTTTAGCTCGACTTTTCTATGAAAAGGGGAGCTATCCTACTCGCCCCGGCGTCGGCGTCGGCGTCGGCGTTAGCGTTAGCGTTGGCGTCACACCTTGGTTAAGTTTTTCGTACCACCCCACTTTATTTCAGAAGTATTACAAGTATGGCTTTGAAACTTACCATACTTGTTCACCATCATAACCTCCATCTACAGACAAGAGTACATAACTCTGTCAAGGTTTTTGACAGAATTATGGCCCTTTTTTGACTTAGAAAGTGTATTGAGCTTGGTTAAGTTTTTTGTACCACCTCACTTTATTTCAAAACCATTGGAGGTATTGCTTTGAAACTGACCATACTTGTTTACCATCACGACCTTCATCAACAGACAAGAGGACATAACTCTGTCAAGGTTTTTGACAGAATTATGCCCCTTTTTGACTTAGAAAATACATTGAATATGGGTAAAATCCACTTATTGCCTTAACCCTTTGAGATATTGCTTTGAAACTTTTAATGCTATTTCACATCATTACCCCCATCTGTACGCAAGAGAAGGTAACTCTGTCAAGGATTTGTTTTAAAAATTAAGGCCTTTTATCGACTTAGAATCTTGGTTAAGTTTTTTTGTACCACCTCACTTTATTTTCAAAACCATTGGAGGTATTGCTTTGAAACTGACCATACTTGTTTACCATCACGACCTTCATCAACAGACAAGAGGACATAACTCTGTCAAGGTTTTTGACAGAATTATGCCCCTTTTTGACTTAGAAAATACATTGAATATGGGTAAAATCCACTTATTGCCTTAACCCTTTGAGATATTGCTTTGAAACTTTTAATGCTATTTCACATCATTACCCCCATCTGTACGCAAGAGAAGGTAACTCTGTCAAGGATTTGTTTTAAAAATTAAGGCCTTTTATCAACTTAGAATCTTGGTTAAGTTTTTAGTACCAGTCCACTTTTTGACTGAACTGTTTGAGATATTAATTTGAAAGTTGGAATACTTGTTTACAATCATGATTCCCAAACATGTCCAGGAGAAGGTAATTCTGTCAAAGATTTTATTTGAATTATGGCCCTTAACTGTCAATGTTTTGTATTATAGGCAAGCACTAAAAAAGTCGAGCGCGCTGTCTTACGGACAGCTCTTGTTCATTGGCCTATAGTATAATGCTAATATTTAGGGCATTTTAACGCTATGTTTATATAATGCATATGGTGTCACCTTAATATTTTTGAAAAGCCGTGCAATACCATTTTTACAGAGTCGCAAAAGCGTAGATGAATTTAGATATGTAATATTGGATCATATATCTCACTTTACCAACAACATCCTGGATCCGTATATAATTTTTCTGCAGTTACTTGTCATATCTGGTAGTTAATTATATTTATGGTATTACAGACCTTCCATTATGGACCAACTCACTTTAAAACAACTATTTATTTTCATGTATTTTACAGCAGTTCCAAAGACAAAGCTAGAAACAAGAAGACCTGAACCAGTCCGTCATTTATCATCGGCCATCAGTCATCCACATCCGGTCAGACATGTTGCGAGACGTGGTAGGTATTTAGGCAAAAAGGTTACCTAAGATTTGCTTATAATTTATTAACACTTTAAAGATTTTAGCAAATCACTGGTATTTATTTTACCCCATTTATCTCCCCTTAAACACTTTGAAAATATGAGTGGTTATTTTTTACTGGTTTATCTCCCCGTTTTATACCCTATGATACAAATTTAATTTTGTTGATATGTATTGGCTAATCTGGAGGCATGCAACTTTAATTGGCAAGTTAGATATTTTATAACTTTATTATAAAGCAATGACATATTTTTTTCTCAATGAAAAGATCGAAAGGTTGGTCATGACTTTGACAAAGTTGAATACTATGTTGAAATTTTTTCTTGAGCAAATCTTGCATTCCATAATGAATAAATTAACTTTTTTTGACAAATTGTTAAACCCTAGGAGTCATGGTAGTTAAAATGAATGGTTACCCATTTCTATCCCCCTGGGCCTGGCATAGTGGTAGGAGTTGGGAGGTACATGGTATGCAAACAAAAGGTGTCTCATTAAGTCAGAAATGTTTGGCCCTCTCATTAGGGGTGACACTATAAAAAACAAGACCTTTACCTTACAGTATGGGATAATATGTGTTTTATGAATGTATCATATAAATATTGTTGATATGGAGTTGTCTTCTCTTATTTCATGTAGAGTCAACAGAGTCGTCGGCGTCTTCAGATCATAGCGACTCTGTTCCCCGACCAATTCTCTCCGTCCATAATGGGACCGCGAAGTTGATGAATAAACATGTCAGCATACAGTCACCAAGGGAGGTAAACCATATCTCACCAAGACAAGGTTCATTACCACAGGGCTTACCACAGGGCGGACCACAGTGGCAGTTTGAAGATACGCCAGAAGATCTTGATGATGTCAAGTCACATTTTATGACTCCGAGCGTCAAGAAAGTGTGCACAAGATCAATAGAAATGGTCACCATGCCTCAAGGTAATATAGAAACTGATTCATGAATAGTAAGACAATCATTTTAATACATTCCTAGAGGGATATTTTGGTTATGTACCTTCTACCAAGTCACAATATGATGTGTATTTTGATTTGATATACATAGAGGGTATTTCTGGGGTGGCTGGATAAATTTTCAATCCTTGAGAAATTTCTCAGTGACAATTTGTCATTTGCTTCAGAAATCTGGTATTAAAAGTAGTCGGTAACATAAGGAGATATTGATCAGTAAGTTATTTAGGAAAGTCAGTTGAGAAGACACACGGTCAAGTTATGAAAAATTGTCTTAAAATTGGTGTAAAGCAAAACAAACAAGGTATCAATGTATGATCACATTTAGTGATCAGGACAGAAAAAAAAATCAATTTTGATGCTTTTAAGCTTGACTGTACGAAGTATATGGAGAGCTGTCCTACTCGCCCGGGTGTCCGCTTAAAGTTTTGGTGCAGTAAAATGTTTTTCACTATAACTTTTTCATTTTTTCAGGTATCAACTTCAAACTTTAGATATATGTTCCTTATCATCAACCACATCTTATGTGATAAAGTGCATAACTTTAGCTTCAATATTTTCAGATTTATCTCCCCTTGAACTGAGAATTTTCCTTAAAAAAATACTATTTTTAGCTCTCCTGTCACAAAGTGACAGGGTGAGCTTTTGTGATCGCTTTTCGTCCGGCGTCCGTCCGGCGTCCGTCCGTCCGTAAACTTTTACTTTAAATGACATCTCCTCATTAACCACTAAGCCAATTTCATCCAAACTTCACAGGAATGTTCCTTTGGTGGTCACCTTTAAAAGTTGTTCAAAGAATTTAATTCCATGCAAAACTCTGGTTGCCATGGCAACCGAAAGAAAAAACTTTAAATATCTTCTTTTAAAAAAACATAAGAGCTAGAGCTTAGATATTTGGCATGAAACATCTTCTAGTGAGTGTCTACCAAGTTTGTTCAAATAAAAGCCCTGGGGTCAAAATTGGCCCCGCCCCGGGGGGTCATTGATTTTCCCTATATGCATATAGTAAAAACTTAAAAAATCTTCTTTTAAAGAACCCAAAGAGCTAGAGCTAAGATATTTAGCATGAAACATGTTCTAATGGGTGTCTACCAAGTTTGTTCAAATAAAAGCCCTGGGGTGAAAATTGGCCCCGCCCTGGGGGTCATTGATTTTTCCTATATGCATATAGTAAAAACTTAAAAAATCTTCTTTTAAAGAACTCAAAGAGCTAGAGCTTTGATATTTGGCATTAAACATCTTCTAGTGAGTGTCTACCAAGTTTGTTCAAATAAAAGCCCTGGGGTGAAAATTGGCCCTGCCCCGGGGGTTCATTGATTTTCCCTATATGCATATAGTAAAAACTTAAAAAATCTTCTTTTAAAGAACCCAAAGAGCTAGAGCTAAGATATTTAGCATGAAACATGTTCTAATGGGTGTCTACCAAGTTTGTTCAAATAAAAGCCCTGGGGTGAAAATTGGCCCCGCCCCGGGGGTCATTGATTTTCCCTATATGCATATAGTAAAAACTTAAAAATCTTCTTTTAAAGAACTCAAAGAGCTAGAGCTTAGATATTTGGCATGAAACATCTTCTAGTGTGTGTCTACCAAGTTTGTTCAAATAAAAGCCCTGGGGTCAAAATTGGCCCCGCCCCGTGGGGGTCATTGATTTTCCCTTATATGCATATAGTAAAAACTTAAAAAATCTTCTTTTAAAGAACCCAAAGAGCTAGAGCTAAGATATTTAGCATGAAACATGTTCTAATGGGTGTCTACCAAGTTTGTTCAAATAAAAGCCCTGGGGTGAAAATTGGCCCCGCCCCGGGGGTCATTGATTTTCCCTATATGCATATAGTAAAAACTTAAAAATCTTCTTTTAAAGAACTTTAAGAGCTAGAGCTTAGATATTTGGCATGAAACATCTTCTAGTGTGTGTCTACCAAGTTTGTTCAAATAAAAGCCCTGGGGTCAAAATTGGCCCCGCCCCGGGGGGTCATTGATTTTCCCTATATGCATATAGTAAAAACTTAAAAAATCTTCTTTTAAAGAACCCAAAGAGCTAGAGCTAAGATATTTAGCATGAAACATGTTCTAATGGGTGTCTACCAAGTTTGTTCAAATAAAAGCCCTGGGGTGAAAATTGGCCCCGCCCCGGGGGGTCATTGATTTTCCCAATATGCATATAGTAAAAACTTAAAAAATCTTCTTTTAAAGAACTCAAAGAGCTATGGCTAAGATATTGAGCATCAAACATGTTCTAATAGGTGTCTACCAAGTTTGTTCAAATACAAGCCCAGGGGTCAAAATTGGCCCCGCCCCGGGGGTCATTGATTTTCTTTATATGTGTTTAACAAAAACTTTAAATCTTCTTTGAAAAAACCCAAATAGCTAGAGTTTAGATATTAAGCATGAAACATTTTCTAGTAAGTGTCTACAAAGTTTGTTCAAATAAAAGCCCTGGGGTCAAAACTGGCCCGGCCCCAGGGGTGTCATTGTTTTGAACTATATGTGTATAGTAAAAACTTAAAAAAAATCTTTTTTTAAAAAGCCCAATGAGCTAGAGCTTAAATGTTTAGCATGAAACATCTTCTTATGGGTGTCTACCAAGTTTGTGCAAATAAAAGCCCTTGGGTTAAATTGGCTCTGCAACGTTGGGGGGGGAGGGGGGGGGTTGGGGGTCCTATATACAGGTGAGCGACCTCAGGGCCATCATGGCCCTCTTGTTCACTTTTACTTCTTTATTTTTAAGGGATCAACTTCATACTTCAAATATATGTTCCTTATCATCAACCACATGTCATGTGACAAGGTTCATAACTCTAGCACCAATATTGCAAGAATTATCTCCCCCATGAACTTGAACTTTTTTTACTTGAAAAATGTTTTTTTTTTACTATAACTTTTTTTGTTTTAAAGGTACCTACGTCAAACTTCAAATACTTATTACTTATCATCAATTCCATCTTATGTGACAAGGTTCATAACTCTTTAAGCAACACTTTCAGATTTATCTCTCTTTGAACTTAGGATTTTCTTTAAGAAATATTATAACTTCTTTACTTTTTAAGGTATCTACTTCAAACTTCAAATATATATTTCATATCATTACACACATGTTGTGTGACAAGGTTCATAACTTTAGTGTGACTATTTCCAGAATTGTTCCCCCTTGAACATGGAATTTATGTTAACAAATGTTATTTTATTACTATAGCTTAATACATAATTATACATAAGTTATTTTTCTTTCATAGTTTTGTCTTCCTTACTGTGTCCAGTATTTTATTAGTGGAGTTTCGCTGTCTCCTGTGACAGCCCTTGTTTTTCTCAACTGGAAACTCATTAGTTACATTTCCAAAATCAGTAGAAAATAGATTATATTTGATTTTACTTGGCAGGTGATTATGACGATTTAGACAGAGATACCAGTATTGTAGAGATTCAGGCTCGCACCAGGGACTCCCTGTTACAATCACCTGTGTCTACCTCAAATCTTGACATCACCAGTCTGTATCAGGTAAATTTAGTGTTTCTTTCTCCCCATTAACTCTTTGTCTTCAGATTTTTTTGTTATGAATTTCCCTTGCTTTGAATTTGATCAGTCCATTCTCAGTTTATGGGGTTTTAGTATCAAAATACAAGAAATTGAGATACTAATAGTATAGAGACTGGTGAGACTACAGGCTGGTCTGGGTCTGTACTGGTGGCATATTGAAGATTAAGGTGAATCACTTGGTTCGACCAGGATTAAGTGTTAATTTGAACAATGTGTGAACTGGCCAAGCTTTGTGCATCTCATTTAATTCCAGTAGTTTAATTAAGGGTTAAACAAGTCATTTTTTATTTTCCCATTTTGATACTTAGACAGAAACAATGTCATTATTACTTAAAATTTAAAAGAGAAACTGACAAAGAAGAATTTTGATATATTATAGATAAATGTATATCAGCTGTTGGATTCTACATGTGAGAAAGCTATCCAGCTACCTTATGGAACATCAGTGGTTCTAGTCAGGTGCCCAATTGTGCCTGAAACAAGGTGAAAAATGTTTCAAATGTCATAGACACATAGACTCAATTTGCTAATGTGAATTTTTATGCCCCGCCATAAAATGGCTGGGTATATAGTGTTACCCTGTTCTGTCATTCCGTCCTGTCATTCCGTCATCATCAGTTTCCGTTCATTATCTTAGTAACGGTTGAACACATTCAACTCAAATTTGACATATGGATATAGCATGCGAAAATACAGGTCAAGCTCGAATTTGGTCATGGTCCGATGATTTTGGCAAAGTTATTCCCCTTGATAAAATTTTCAGTTTCTGTTCATTATCTCCCCAACAGGTGTACACATTCAACTCAAATTTGACATATGGATACAGTGTTTTTTTTTCACCAAAATATTCGGCGAAATTCTCCCCATTCCCCCCTCAAAAAAGTATGTTTTTTTCCCCCCTCAAAGCTGAAATTTCCCCCTATAATATTGCAGCCCAAATTTGCCTGCAATGAATATCATTTTTTTGCAACTAACTGCCGAAAAATGCTTTATTTTATGCCTGTAAGACTTACTGTTAAGCAAGGTTTTTCATATAGGTAAGGGTAGCTACTCCTGGTATCCCAACAAGTTTATCATGTGACACATCAATATTTTAGATCCGTATAAAAATCCCCTCCTATTGCATTTTTCCCCCTCCAATGGGCACCGACCCCCTTCCCCCAAAAGTGAAAAAAAACACTGGGATAAGTCAAAGGAATGCGCAAATCAAGATCGAATTTGGTCATGGTTCAATGATTTTTGGCAGAGTTATGCCTCTTTCACTTTGAAAATAATATGAAATTTTCAGTTTTCGTTCATTATCTTCCCAACGGTATTACACATTCTACTCAATATGGCATAATTATGGATACGTCAAAGGAATGTGCAGGTCAAGTTTGAATTTGGTCATGGTTCAATGATTTTTGGCAGAGTTATGTCTCTTTCACTTTGAAAATAATATGAAATTTTCAGTTTCCGTTCATTATCTCCCCAACGGTATTACACTTTCAACTCAAATTTGACATATGGATACGTCAAAGGAATGCACAGCTCAAATTTGGTCATGGTTTGATGATTTTTGGCAGAGTTATCCCCCTTTCACTATGAAAATAATGTGAAATTTTTAGTTTCTGTTTTTTATCTCCCCAACGGTATTTCACATTCAACTCAAATTTAATAAATGGATATGTTGAAGGAATGTGCAGGTCAATTTTGTATTTGGTTATGGTTCGATGATGTTTGGCAGAGTTATGCCCCTTTCACTTTGAAAAAAAGGAAATTTTCAATATCCGTTTATTATCTCCCAAATAGTTGTACATATTCAACTCAAATTTAATATATGGATATGTCATAAGAAAACTCTGGTCAAGTTGGAATTTGGTCATGGTTTGATGATAGCTGACAGAGTTATCCCTCTTGAACTTTGAAAAAAATCAGAAATTTTTAGTTTCCGTTTATTATCTCCCCAATGATTGTACACATTGAACATAAATTTGACATATAGATACATCTGAGGAATAAGCAAATCATGTTCGAATTTGGTTGTGGTTCAATGATTTTGGACAAAGTTATCTCTCTTGAAGGTTAGAAAAGTTTTGAATTTTCAGTTTCAGCACTCATACTTTTGTGTAATGTATGTAGTCATTATTTTGGCTACAAAAATGCAATATGCAATTTACAAAAGGTTAACACTGAATAGTTTCAGTACCTTGAACTTTGTATAAAAATGCAAACAAATTTGGAACTAAATATTGTGACATCTGAAATTTTGGCTGCATGCGGTGGCATCTGTGTTGTGACGACAAAAAAAAAAAAAATAAGACGTGAAAAATACAGAAAATTATACCTGTTTCTTTTGCAGACAGTTGAGGCTTTATCAAGTCAGGTGATGATGATTGCTCGGAACCAGCAGGCTGGGGGTAATGTTGCGACCGATGGGAAATTAGATGAAGCTGTATCCAAAATAGAAAATCTCACTGCAAGGCTGCTTCTATTGGAAAACAGAATGTCCATCATTGAGGCCAAGGTAAGATTGTGAAAATTTAACTTGTTACCTGCTGAATTTGTGTAATAGATTTGCTCACATTTGAATTTGGAACAGGTCTCCACCAATAACATGTGTACAATTATCAGATCATTTGCTCTCTCTGTATCCCAATGATAATCAATTTTATTGAATCAATTGACCCTTAATTGAAAAGCGTTGCAATGCTTTTTACTCAAATTGGCCCTAAAAATGCATAAAAAATTGATTATCATTTTAGTATGGCACATATTATCTATTACAAAGTTTTCTATTAAGTGTGTCAGTTGATTTATGAAAGAATTTCAAGTTTTATGATGTAAGGCTATGAGACCTCAGTGGAGTTCTTTTAATATTGTAATAACATTAATTGTAGATGGACACTATACAAGTGTCTACCAACTCAGTGAATTCACATTCCACTTCCAACCATGTTACATTAGTCAACAACCAGTCAAATATGCGACCTTCTCATGCAAAACCAACAGGGAACCAGTCATCACCAGAAAAGCAACCTTCAAAACAGTCTTTTCCAGCCAGACAACCTACAAACCAGTCAAAACCTGATTATCCTCTTAAAGAAAACAGCTATCTGCAGCCGGAAGTGAAACCTGTATCACAAGACATTTTACAGTCTGATATGTTAAATGAAAAGTATGTTTTCACAAGAGATAGGGGTCAAGGAGACAACAAAATGGACCAGTCAAACATAGACCAGACTGGACTTTTCTCAGGACCAGGCAATTCTTTTGGTATAGTTAAATTAACATTATTATATTGTAGCATAAATAAATATATTTTAGCTTGACTATTCGATAATAATAAGTAGGGCTATTGTAGTCACCTGAGCGTCGGCGTAACCACTTATGTTAAAGTTTTTGTAATACCTCAAATATTTTCAAAGTCCATTGACATATGGCTTTTAAACTTTGCACACTTACAAGTCATCATGACCCCAACCTGTAGACAGGAGGAGGTAACTCTATGAAGCATTTTGACAGAATTATGCCCCTTTTTCGACCTAGAATTTACGTTTAATTTTTTGTAATACCTCAAATATTTCCAAAGTCCATTGACATATAGCTATGAAACTTTGCACACTTGTACACCATCATGTCCTCAACCTGTAGACAGGAGGAGGGAACTATTTCAAGATTTTTGACAGAATTATGCTCCTTTTTCAACTTAGAATTTATGCTAAAGTTTTTGTAATACCTCAAATATTTTCAAAGTCCATTGACATGTGGCTTTGAAACTTTGCACACTTGTTCACCATCATGACTGGAGGAGGGAACTCTTTCAAGCTTTTTGTCAGAACTATGCCCCTTTTTCAACTTTGAATTTATGTTAAAGTTTTCATACCACCTCAGATATTTTTCATATTCTATTGACATCTGGCTTTGAAACAAGTTGAATTTTTTTACTTTTCTTTGAGAGCATAATAGGACTCTCTCCAAGGCCTATAACTGTATTTTGAATTCATAGAAAAATTTTGCCCCTTTGTTAACTTAGACAATTTTACATTATCAAAGCTCTTTTACAATCAAGCACTAAGAATAGTCAAGCATTGCTGTCCTCCCGCTCTTGTTTTAAATTAACTCTTTTTTGGGGGGTGGGGTGGGGGGGGGTAAAATTTTGAGATTTAATCTGCAAACATTCTTAAAAGTTCATAATGCCCAAGAAATTATTTCGTTTTAATTTCTCAAAAAACTGTATTTTTGATATTTTGTTACAGTTTCCAAAAATATACTTTTCTATACATTACCGGGTAACTATCTTTTGCACCTTAAGCTCTGTTGGCAATTAGTATAATTAAAGGGAATTAGTATTTTGTGTTTTGCTACCTTTACTTCACATAACTGCATGTTCAGTGCTACCGTTTCTGTTGTAAAACATCTAACACAAGCTCTGAAACCATTTTATAACATTATTAAACACATGTTTAAAGAACTAAAAGCTATGGATTTCTGACGCATAATGTGCCTTTAAATGGACTTTTCCAGTTTCTATTTTTGTAGTTTCCAATATCAATTTGGGAATGTGATAATAAGTACAATACAGGAATATATTTGGACTGGTACTCAGGCCAATATGATTTCTTCAGCTACAAGTTTGGTCTGGTCCAGATATATTCCTGTATTGTATAGTTGAATGTAAAGTAACCTATAAATCTTGAACAAGAAGTGATGGTCCATCAACAGATACTTATTCCTTTCTATAGATCTGAGCTTCTCTCTTTGGTATATATTTTATACATATCTCTATTAAAGGGAAGAAAAATTTCTTTTGTATGTTTATTGTAATATTTTCAGCTGAAGAGCTACGAGCAATGGGTGTCAGCCAGAAAGGCCAGATTAAAGAAACCACAGATTTTTCATTAAACTACTCTCCTATACGAAGAGTCAATAATGGTATAGTAGGGTCAACCATGTCCGCCAATGAGGATACTTTCGCTTTAGAAACAGAGGACGACGCTCGACGGGCTAGTACACCAACATTTGGCGGAACATTTTATGGAGAAAATTCTTTACAATGCGACATTTCACATGTGGAGATTAAAGATACTGTGTCGAGAATTCATAATATGTAAGTGACAACTTGAGATTTTGTAACAAAAGGTATCTTTCTGTATAATATGGTTAAATTATAGATACTTCAGCTTAAGTATATAAGAAATTTATGAGACTATGATTTATTAAAAATTATCATACCACCAGTTAGGTTTTGTTTGCAGCTTAATTTCTCATTAACTGTTAAAGGTATTCACACATACTGATGAGTGGATAATTCTGCGTGTCAAAAAGTTATCGTATTTAAAATTCCATACTTTTCATGTCAGGAATCTTGGAAGAGTAGAATTTAATGACAAGTTGGTTGATATTTATGCTAATGGAAATTTTAGCGATTTTCACAAATTCATGAAATTGGCCAATACAGTTCGACCTAGATTATGCGACAACCCTTTATTCGAATACCCTGCATTATCTGATTTTAATTGGCGGTCTTGTTTTTGTCTCTTTATAAATCAATATAAAAACAAGCGTTTTTAAAAAATTATCCGAATACCTCCTATTTTTCGATGTAAAATTTCGGTCCCGATTATACAATTATGAAAGAATTTCACACCTATTTTTTTCGAAGCCAGGCTAATTGGCACAGATCCACTCTCTGATCGTTCTACTTGTTAAAGACTTTCAACAGTCATGTGTGGATTTAGACAATCATGATAATTACCCTTTGCATGTTCTTTAATCAACTGAAATTACAGAAAATAAAAATCTATCTACTGTTTCCGATGTTGTTACTGTTATTGCTTGAAGATGACAGCTGTAATTTTTGTATTTTTTAAATATTCGTCAAAACATCCAAAAGATTTGTTTCATTAATTGTAACGCTACCTTAACCACTTATACAGTACCTCTGAGGAAACAATAAATAACTCTGGCATGGATTATATACCGAGCTACATGTATATCTCTTAGCTTAGCTCTTGTTTTAAGCACAGAGAAAGATTGCAAATTTTGGCAAGTCATTTTCTCAAGATAAAATCAGAAATATATTCATATGAGTACTGTGGCTATTTACTTCTAGATCATTGTTTTATACTTTGTCATAGAAAGCAATGGGAACTGTAAAATATGGTTTTAACTATGCATTATTTCAGGATAAAGTAAGCAATAGGTCATGTAAGGGGCCAAGTGGTTAATGTCTTTGAGATTTCAAATCATTTGTCTGTCACTGCAGTGCCTTCTTTCATGTGAGAAACTATCCAGCTAGCTTACTTAAGGTTAGTGGTTCTACTCAGGTGTCAGTTTGCGCCTGAAATAATGCACTGAGGAGCACCTTAGGTCTTCTCCACCAGTAAAGCTGGAAAGTTGCCATATGACCAATACCATGTTGGTGTGACATAAAACCAAACCCCCAAAAAATGTAATGTAAGATAAGAACTTAAAGAGACTCTTTGGTCCTCAGTGGAGTTCCTTTAATTATTTCAGGATAAAGAAAATAATAGATCATGTTAGATATTGCTATAAATGATTTCAGGATAAAATTAACAATAGGTCATGTAAGGTATGGATTATAATTTTTTTCAGGATGAAAGAAACAACAAAGATGATGAAAGAACAAGCTGTAGTGCACCCAGTTCAGAGAGGAGCTGAACAGCCTGATGTTGTGCAGCCACCAGAGGTCGACAGTATCAACTGAAATAGTGTTACTATTTACAAAATATTTTGTTATAACACAATTTAGTGCTGTAAAATAAAAATGCCAGTGCTGTAATCAAAGCTATAATAAACAAATCAGCACAGTGATTAAACAAATAAGTTCCAAGTAATATGAACATAATAATGCTGCAATGGAAACAAACCAGTGTTGTAAATTGAACATGACAATGTTGTAATATAACCTAACCAGTGCTGTGATATTAGCAAAGCACAGCTCTAAAGTAAACAATTCAGTGCTGTAAATAACTAACCAGTGTTATAATATAGACAAACTTATTTAGCAAATTTAGCATGAAAATTAAACTCATCAGTGCTATAATTTAAACATATCATTGTTGTAATATAGACACATTAGTGCTGTTATATAGACACATTAGTGCTGTAATATAGACACATTAGTGCTGTAATATAGACACATTAGTGCTGTAATATAGACACATCGGTGCTGTAATATGGACACATCGGTGCTGTAATATGGACACATCGGTGCTTTAATATAGACACATTAGTGCTGTTATATAGACACATTAGTGCTGTAATATAGACACATTAGTGCTGTAATATAGACACATCGGTGCTTTAATATAGACACATTAGTGCTGTAATATGGACACATCGGTGCTGTAATATAGACACATCGGTGCTGTTATATAGACACATTAGTGCTGTAATATAGACACATTAGTGCTGTAATATAGACACATTAGTGCTGTAATATGGACACATCGGTGCTGTAATATAGACACATTAGTGCTGTAATATGGACACATCGGTGCTGTTATATAGACACATCGGTGCTGTTATATAGACACATTAGTGATGTAATATAGACACATTAGTGCTGTAATATAGACACATCAGTGCTGTAATATGGACACATCGGTGCTGTAATGTAGACACATTAGTGCTGTAATATAGACACATTAGTGCTGTAATATAGACACATTAGTGCTGTAATATGGACACATCGGTGCTGTAATATAGACACATTAGTGCTGTAATATAGACACATTAGTGCTGTAATATAGACACATTAGTGCTGTAATATAGACACATTAGTGCTGTAATATAGACACATTAGTGCTGTAATATGGACACATCGGTGCTGTAATATAGACACATTAGTGCTGTAATATAGACACATCAGTGCTGTAATATAGACACATTAGTGCTGTAATATAGACACATTAGTGCTGTAATATAGACACATTAGTGCTGTAATATAGACACATTAGTGCTGTAATATAGACACATTAGTGCTGTAATATAGACACATTAGTGCTGTAATATAGACACATTAGTGCTGTAATATAGACACATCAGTGCTGTAATATGGACACATCGGTGCTGTAATATGGACACATCGGTGCTGTAATATAGACACATTAGTGCTGTAATATAGACACATTAGTGCTGTAATATAGACACAACAGTACTGAAATATTTACCCTTTTTTAAGGTTTAGAATTTTGTGATTAAGAAAGTTATACTATAAATCTTGTTTTGGAAAGGGAAGAACTCATGTAAAACAAAGTTTTGGTTATATATTTTGTGAAGAATTGATGTTAACTGTTATGGGAACAAAGTTTTTTATCCAGGAGGATTTGAAATACACTTTATTTAGCTTTATATGCAAGTTATAAAAGTCTGCAGAGAGGAAAAAATGTGATGGTCAAAGCGAAATACTATAGACTGATAGTGTAAAATCAGGACCCTGTCTTATGCGGGGGTCCATCTTACATCTGAGTAATTTTGGTAAATATCACCAACACTGTGATACAATCAATTTAACAGCAGATGTCATGAAGAACTGTCTAAAAAAATTATGTAATTAGGTAATTTCAAATGATGTATGAGTTTTGAGCTTGGTTAATAGATACCACCAGTGTGTGTGTCACATCAGTTGAATACACAGAATTATATATATATATATATATAAATTTTTTTTTGTACTTATTTGTTAAGTTATGTAATATATGTAGATGTATGATGATACTGCTTTTGTTGTTTGTGTATACTGTAAAGATGATGATGATTTGCGATTGATGATGTTGATGATAACATCAGGATTAGAAAAAAATCATTTGTATCTAAGGGAGGCAACTCTCACACAATATCTATTTAGTCCAGTCAGAGTGATTGTTACTGAGTATGATGTGTCTTGAATAAAATGTATGTAATTTTTGATCGGTCAAATCTTAAATTTTTGGTTGAGATTGGATTGGAAAGGTTTGTTAATCATTACAGTTTTGTTATTCTTTTCTGGTTAGTCACTTTTTTGGCAAAAAAAAAAGACGTAATTTAAGACTGACATGTAAACCTTTGAAAGTCTGAAGAAAATAAAATGATATCTTTGCATGATATCTTTGCATGATTACTTCCTTTTGTGTAAATTCATTTTAAACTTCTGTTTATCAACTTCAACCATAACAGAGCTAGATATTGTAGTTTGTAAGTTTAAACATATTTATTTAAGCTTGATTGTGTAACAAGTTTTTGCAAATTAATTTAATTAATATCACTTTAGAGTTGGATCCTGGAACTTAGCAGTACTGGTGTCATATAAAAAAACATGTCCAAAGAAGGGCTTGAACCTATGATTCCTGGATTGAGAGGAAGATAACCACTAGGCCACCACTGCCCTTCTGATTGTATATAAAATGAACTTGTCCAACTTCTATTCTGAACAGATGCAATTTTCAATTGAACATTCAAAATAAGATTTGACTGAACAGACCATGATCAGACAGCATTGATGCGTCAGCTGATCTTATTCTACACTGATTGCAGGAATAATTTGAGTTGCCACCAGCTGGCTCTAGTATTACATAGTACCATCAACAATAGCCAATAAACTATGTGTTGAAGTCTTCATCGGCTTTCTTATAAAGAGTTGATTAGCTTAATTTTGATGCAAAATTGAACCTTATTTTATTCAATCTATGTCTGTTTTTAGAACTAATCTGTACTTGCATCAAGTATGTACCATTTTATTTCAGTGTGTTATTGTTCATCTGTATTGCTATTCAGAAATTAGAAGAGTCATGAAAAAGGAGTCATAAGTCAAGATTCTGTCTTTGAAATTTAAAATTGTCTCAGTTTTGGTCTTAAGACTGATTTCAGACTTTGGACTTTCTAAACACAGCTCGGTTTATTTGTAAAGTATTATGATTTAATGCATTGCTAAATGTGATAATGAATAATATTTATGTGATGAATAATTTTTTGTTACACATCACTGTTTTCTATTTGGAAGTGCCTGCTTAAATTCTCTAAGCCATATAGTTTGTTGTATTTTATTGTCTAAGGTTGTTGTACTGTTATTTTTTCATAAAAATATAGATTATTGTTGAACCATATATTTGAATACTTTATGTAGTAGATAATTTATCTTGTTATTTAAATTTCATATGCCATTTTGTATTACATGTGTAATAAACATTTTAAAATATATGAAGGTTTTGATAGTGAACGTTTTTCTATAGTTGTCTTAATTTGATATATGTTTGTCAGGGACATGAAGATACAGGTACGTTTCTGTTATCTATAAACGTTTATCTGGAATTGTGTATACATATACATGTATGTACGTCATGTATATCCTGAAAATATAAATGATTCCATTTCAGTGTATTCTTAATGTACAAATGAATTGTGATAAGATTAATTAGCTAATTGATTAATAATCAATCGCATGACGGTGTATAATACATGTATATTGTAAATGTTCAGGCAAAAATCGCAATTCTCAGCCACTGAAATATTATAAACTTTGCGTGAATCAGCATTCGAGACGGACGCCAACTTGGCTTGTGTTATCTCCCTTGATTAATAAGACATGCTCGTCATAGTTGTCTCCCTGTACACCGTTTTACACGTTTAAAAAATATTTTTCCTTCTCAATAAATTTCTGTATGCTATATTTTCTGATATTTTAGCGGTGAAATGAATATACAAATGGTCAAGTTTGATAAATAACCGGTTGTCTATAATTTGAATTGCACATAGACGTTTTAAAACCCGTTTAATCCAAAACGTTCTCTAATAAACATTAGAAATGGTCATAAATGTACCTTAATATGAAATACACCTCTTTATTCAGAATAGAAAATTATATTTGCTGCAAAATTTAGGCAAAGACTGAAGATTTTCTTTTCTCACAATTGCTGAAAAAAAGATGCAGGTCCAGGACTTTTAATCAGATGGGTCTTAAATAAACAATTTGGCTGTTCAATGACTTTACCCGAGTGGTCTAAAAAAAAACGTTGTATTGATAAATTCAGGTTTTTGTTTAATTAACTTAGGCTCGTATCGAAATATCAGAAGCGTCGCACTCTATTCTGAATTTCGTATATCCTGAATCCCTACTCGCTCCACTAAATTTTTGACAGACCAGTCTTAATACCTGTAATATGTGACGAGGCATCATGCTAATTTATCTCTCTTTTATACCTAATACTGTAAATGACCACCTCCTAATTCAAGGCAAGATCAGTCCATCATATATGTACAGGGATTTGTGATTACAATGTTTTAGAACAGAGTACGTGTATTATTGTTGCTCTGCGTTTGACTTCTGAGAATACGAGCTTCCAGATTGTTCTACGTGTAAAAAATCGTTCAATTCTTAGAAGTACCTGTTCGAAATTTGAACTTGGTGGGAAACTATCGTATCTACTTGTTTATCTATAATTAAATACAGTCAGCTCACACCGAGGTGTAGTAATATTGGCAGGCATGCATTCTGTTCAAGGAATCATTCTGGAATCAATTATGATATGAACATTATATTTGTATCTTTTGTTTTACCTGAACTAGACGTTTGTAAGTGTTCAGCGTGTAGTCGGTGATATTGTTCGAATCTGGAACAATTTTCCCACAATAATTGATCAGTCATAACTCTGTGTTAAGAACACAGGAATTCTCGGGAACTTATCTTACATTCCCATGCAGAGTTATTGAACGGCGATAGGTATTTTTATAACACTGTGTTCATTCATACCTCTATCAGAGTCTTTCAAAATCAGGGTTTTTCAAAAAGAATTTCTATTTGAAAGATTATTCCAAAATGACATTAAAAGAAGTGAAGAATTACTATCGTATAAACATATATATGAAATTTCTTGTTTCTAATTACAGGCAAGTATAGACTATTTCTTAAAGCATCTTATATGTATACATTTGTTGTGATTAAAGTTGGCTTTATACTTTAATTATTAATATATGTCATTTCTGATTAAGTGGTCAAGGCCACTGACATCAAACCGCTGTTGGTGTCAGTCCCGCATTATATAAAAGATTGTAAAAATATAAATTATATCAAGATTTTCGCGTATAATTATCAAAAACAATATAACCTTTTGATAACATCCAGTTTTTTAATAATAATAATTCCAGTTTTTTAATAATAATAATAATAATAGTACTGTTAAAGTGAAAAGTTTACAAAGAATGAGATCATGATGAGAGGGGGGAAAAAGCAACAATAAGCACTAGTACACATCTAACAGTCGGGCAAAGTCGAAAAAAACAAACTAGCTCCTCGCCTGCTCTAAATACACACTTTACGGGAAAAGATACGAGTTATAAGAAATATTGGCACACATAATAAGAAGAATTATATGCTATGTGTATTCTGTAATTGATTACTGATCAGACGACCCTCGATTATTACGTCATCGCGCGTTTCGACAGATTGCGCGCGACGGGCGGCGCGTTTATTGAGACAATTGTGAAGATTATATCGTGTATATGGAAACGTACTCGCGTAATCATGGCTGATTTGGATAGATAATTATTTTCAGATTGCCTCACCACATGTGGTTACCTATGGAATGATGTCTTAGTACCCATCCAAAAATGCAACATGTACATGCGGGTGGGAATATTTGCGCATATCATTAATTATTATTCATGAATAAATCAATAAAATTATAATGCATAGGCCTAATGTCCCAGTTTTTATATTTTTATTTCTATATATTTGTCCAATAATTTTTACTTTAACTAGCAAGAAGGCAAGCTTTTGTCTGCGTATTCAGAATTAAAAGATACACTTTGCTCAAATTTGACATTAGAAAATATTGATAATTGCTACAAAGTCTCTTAGTACATATAAAATGAAAATATAATTTTTTTTTGAATTCACACATAGAGGATATGTTATGTTTACAATTCTGCGCACTTTAGGGGTCACAATATGAATATATTGTCATTATAAACCGGCTTTTTTAAAGAATTTACCAAATTTACTTGACCCATAATATGGAACGCAGCTTCCCATACATAGTTTTTTCAATCTTTTTAACAAATCAGACATATTTAATAAGAATTTCATAGATTTCAATACATTTCTGTGATTAGAATATTTTATTTAAGGATATGCATAGTAAACCTTTAATTACAACAACAATAAAAAAAATAATAAGGAGAAGAAGAAGAACGACGACGACAACAACAACAACAGCAACAACTACAAAATCATCATCAAAAACAACAACACTGATGTTATGTTTAAGAAGCAATTCTTTGAGAGTGATTTTATGTTCTAAATGGATACAAGTTCTCAGATAAACTGGGACTTAAAATGTATTCTTTTGTTCCAGAGATAAAAGAGCTTTACCTATCAATTACATTCTTTTTGTCTTATCAAATTGTTTGTTTGTTCTCAACTTTACAATTAGATAACACAGATCATTATCTGAATATTTCTTCAACTGGAATTCTCGTTCCGCACAACGATGTTTTTGATATACTTTAAGATTGTTTTATTTTGTATAGCCCCGCCTAAATATTTATGCAGGGATTTTAGTTGATGAAACTAGAGCGCAATATTCCCATTAGATCACACATATATACACAAAAATGCAAGGAAAACTCGTGCAAAGAGCATTAACTGTATGATTACCACTCAATGTCATGTTGATGTTACAGATTACAGGCATGGTGCCGTAATACCGTAAACTCTCGCGAGAGTGAAAGTTTACCGTGCAAATTAGATAAAAAAAACATTGGTTATAAGAGTTGTTTGACATATTTCGGGTTCAACGGCAGTTAGTAATTAAAATAAAATGCACACTTTGTAACCTTGGAATAGGCGATGAATTTCATTACTTACGCGTATTATCTACCGTAGAATTACTATACTTGAACAACAACACCACCACCACCAACAAAAACAACAACAAAAATGGAAAAAATCATTCTAAATCTGAATTTTCAAAACTGGGTCATATTCTTATTATTTTGTTTTATTTTAGATGTAAGGGATTATCTTTAAGAAATTTTCCATTGTTATTACACACATAACATACGAAACGGTTCATAATCTGGCGTTTATTTCAGAGTATACCAATCTGAATGTAATTATGCAAAAATGTTACGTTTCTCAAACATCCAAATGATAATAAGATTTACTTCTCAGGTGTTTCATATACCTCCCCCGTTGTTAAAACGTAGAGTTTTAATGTTAAATGTTATATTAAACTAAATCTATTCATCGATGCCTTTCATTCAAAATCATTTTCATAACCCTGGCAACTATAGACCCTTTAATAATCCCAAATCACATTGATATGCTTACGTAGAAATCGCCTTAAACATATAATAATGTATCACATTTCCTACCCAGTAACTGATGAAAGAAATATGCTAGTACAAATTTAGAAAACTGTTTGTGGTTTTTACAGTCATGGGGTTTACTAGCTGTATATGCATACATAAATACACGTATTTGAAAAGTTGTGCTCGAATAAAGAATGAAATAAACGAAAACGAATAAAAGTCCATTGTAGTTGATTATTATTATTATTATTATTATCATCTTTCGGTCGTCATATCCGGAATCATCTTAGTTTTCCTGTCAGATAAAAAAGTTTATTTTTGTAGGAATCATTGTAATTTCATAGAATATGTATATACTCATTATATAGTTATTGAATTTCACCGGATTGGATGAGAAAATAATAGTTTTGTCATATATTATCTCCTTCGTGTCAATCTGAACTGACACTAAAATACAAGACTATTTTGATATTACCAAGACATACGTGACGACTACACTGTTTCAATTTGAAAAACAAATTGTTGACGGTTAGTTCTACTTGTAATGCGCAATATGATATATTTAGGAATATTTACGCTACGTCAAAAAGTATGTCAAAAGCTTTTCGACATTGACCTAGTTATAATATGTCTATGGATTAAGACAGAACATCTTGGCAAAATGGCTTATCAACAAAAAATAAGTCTTACAGCGTGGGAGATTATTTTCCTTTGTCGATATACAATTGTTAAAGACATATTTTGCCCTGATAGCACTCGACTGAAGGTGCCGATCGTTAATTGATCTACGCAGATAAATGTTGTAAGTAATATGTGTACGCTAACACAGAGTCGTTCACATATGTTTTCTCCCCTAGTTTTCTCTCATCACCATTCTTTTTTTTTTATCTTACAGGGCTTTGTTTACTGTATACTACTTTTTGGATGTTAATGCGTGAATTCATTGCAAAATTCAAACATTATGTTTCAAAAAGGCGGAAAACCCCCTGTGATATCTTTGTTTTAATTCTTTTTAAAATAATTTTTAAAATTTATGTCTGTTCGAGAGTTTATTGTCAATAAACCTTTGTCTTATACATTGTAAAGGATGCCAATACAAAATTGTTTCTGCAAATAATGTCACAAAAAGTGGCAATATGAAAATCATACAATAAATTCTAATGTCAGATTTATAATTCTGTTTTCCACGACGTTAGACATATAAAGCATTTTAAAACACGACTGCCTCTATAATGCATTCTGCATACATCATTCGTATATATGTTTTTTATTTCAATTAATTCTTTTTTTAAAGTAGCATTATTTTTTTTGCCTTGCCAACATGTATTTGATACATTTTGAGATTCTTGCACTGTTTAAAATACATGTCTATACCATTTTTAAAGACTGATTGAATTTGTTTTTGTTACGAAGTGATTTTTTTTGTTCTTCAAATAAACTCTTTGAAGAGTTTTTTTTTCAATCACGAAGCATATTTTTGATTGTGAATCATTCAATTCGTAATCAATTGTTAAAGAAAGTTAAAAAAATAAGTTTTCGGCACTACCCGTCTCTTTCCTGTTAAGTTACAATTATGAATGAGAGACAAAACTTACCGATATTTATTTATTTTTATTTTACTCATATTCATTTTTCATTTATTATTGACCCTGGTCATACTATTCTTCAATTTGAATTGATTTTCGACGAAAAATAATGGATCTTAGCCAAAAGGGCGGAGACATCAATCAGAACTTACAGCAATAAAAGAATGTTTTTTATTTTGCGTATTCTTTTTAAGAATGCATTCTGTAGTAAAACATTAATTGTGAAATAAGATAGGACATAAAAAAATCTGTGTATATCTCTTTTAAAAATAAATTAAATCAACATTCTTGCTATGTAACCATGGCCTTCAGTCAATTCTTTGTTTTCTTCAAAATTTCCCAAAAATGATAGAAAAACAACACTATCTAGATTAAGAGATGAACGAGTACATGTATATTAAAATCATAGCAAGGTAAATCTTATAAAATTGTTCTATATGGAATGGTTATTTATTTAGTTAGTTTAAAATGTGTACGATTGAAAACAAGTCCCAGTGGTTACATATTTCGTGTTGACAGTAAAGGCACACATATGTAAAATATATTTGTATATGCAATTGTATTCGCTCTTAACAAAGTATAATTAGATATAAAATTTCAAAGAAAAAAATAGACGTGTTAAGTTTTTTCCTATAAATTAGCATGATATAAATTGTTTTTGTTTAGATGTCATTGGTGTATCACATTATTCTAGAAATAAACAAACTGCCTCGTTTACACATATTCATGAACGCTATCATTCTTGTCTCCAAGCAACGCAAAAATAGTTCCACTTCCGGTTAGGCGATTTCACTGATCAAGGAACCACAGGGTTCCTATCTGCAATCGATGTCTTTATCACAGACCCCTTACGCATATGATTATCATTAATTAAGTATTGTAATATGTTAATTCTATGATTATTAACCGCGTCTGGGACACTTAACATGGTGCGAAGATCGCGTAACCACATAATCTGATAAGCGCAGAACAGATGTTCCAGCCACCACCCCCGCCACGGGTAATGGTTTGCGCCAATTATAAGAAGAGGTAAAAAGGCAAGTTTTCCAAGGAAATTTCGGATATTACCTAAGCTTTCAGTTGGATCATAACGTGTTACTTAGTCTCTCCAACAAGACAAAATGGTAAGTGCACTTTGTTTCTACTTTAAAAATTTTCTTGTGCATTCGGCTGTTAGTTTATAGAGTTCTAGTAAAACGTTATATTATTATAGAATTCGAAAACATTATATGGCTAAAATGTTTATCATTAGATATGAAACTGTAGAATAAGCATGCGCAAATAAAATGTAAGCATTTCTTTTGATCTGATGAATGCATTTTTATTTCGGATAAAAAGTCTGAAAAGTTTGACGTGTTGTACAGTGTAGTTTACTCTGGTTTCCTAGTTTAGTAAACAGATCTTTAATACTTGCATTAATGCTCGTGTAATTTAGAAACATTGTGATTTTACAGAGCAATGTTTTCAGAGTCATAGGTTTTACAGTATTTACAAGTCTAATGACACGTTTCCTAAATGTTTGGCTCGAATGAAATAATCGAAAACGAATAAAAGGATTATTTGTCTTACAATTCGAATGTGTATCATTTAAAGTCGTCATATTCGGAACTATTTTGTTTTTTCCTGTCAGATAGATATCTATTCATTGAATTATCAGAAAATTTATGGGATCGACAGGCTCTGAGAACAATTTTTAGTTTGCCATTTGTGTTTTTTGTTACATCATATCATTCATTTATCTTTCTTTGTCCGTTTTCAGAGCGGTTTATCTGAAGGTGAAATTGAAGGTAAGCACCGTGTGACCCCATATTCCTAACCTAGGGGCTATTTTTCATACCCTGACTTCATCTCATAGATTTCATTCTCTTGCACTCTGGCACCAAAACGTCAATTCTTTGACGCCATAACAAAGTTCCTTCTAACATAATGTCTTTGAAAATTCTACCCACCTTTCATTACATGTTAGTCATCACTCCTAACTTTTATCTAAACATCTGGTGTGTTTATTCGCTGATATACTATCGCATGCAAAGATTTATTTACCTACATTCTTCTGCTGTTTTTTGTTTCGTCTGCAATGCATATTTTGCAAATTGTGGTTTACCTTGCTGAGAAAAAGTTTTATCTGCGGTGCTTTATAATGTAATGCTAGAATAAGTGTTGTTTTTTTACCTCATTTCAGCGAACTTAAACCAGTTTCCTCCGATTTTATTCCGGACTTGTTCTAAAATTATAGAAGTAAAATAATTATGATATCATGTTCTCAAAACTATTAAGTAATTAACTCACAACTTAAAACAGTAAATACATATTTTCCTATACATGCGGCTTACTGAGATACTGAATAATAAAATGTTGCGCGATAACTTTAAGGTCATTCTAATTGTGCCACAACAGGGAAAGTTTAAAGTCGGGATAGAATAATGTATATCTTTATACAAAAAATCATAAAAAATGATAGAACTAAATTAGATGTTGAAAGGATAGAACTAAAATAAGTACATGTATAGTAATGAGTGCTGGGCGCAATTTATCATTGTTTTAACGCATTTCTGTTTAGTGCTCATATTTTAGTGTTTTTCTTCCCTTTTTCTCTCTCTTCAATCCGGGTATATTTAAGTGTCTGTATAAAATAATGATACCGTTTAACATCTTCTAGAACACATTCCTAAATGTGATCCTCATGAAACTGTAAGTTGTTGTTTGGCACGTGTTCAAAACGTTCTGTAAATACTTCTGCTGTTTCGTACCTGCATACATGTACAGCGGCGAGAAAGTCATGTTTTTTCTCGGGATAAACATATCCATTCTGCGTCACAAGACACAAAAATCTGTGTGAAAATTCTCTTGCCAACATGTTGATATGTATACGAAAATAAATTTACTTCTTCGACAGCTCGCGTAGAATGCATGACCGACTTAGTTTATCATGTAACTCGTGCATTGTAAAACATCAGATACGAAAACATGAGAAATGGCAGTGTCAAACGTTAAAAGATTAATAGTTTCAAAGTTTACACGATGCAGTATTAAGAATTCACCTGTCTGTAAAATATTAACTTCAAGAAAAAGAAAATTTGCAATGAATCTTAGGCTTCATTTTTTTCTTTTTTCAAATTTCATATGTACGTCACTATAACATTAAACATAAACTTTCGTTTCTGAATTATTATCTGACAGTATTAAGTCTAAATGACTTTTTCATGTTTAAATGCAGCTCCAAGTAAAGTTAAGATTAATTTTCATTTCAAAATATTACATGCATCAGTCTGGGAGCGATAAAGCTCTGTTCTTCAAATCCGTATAATCTTAAAATTTTATTTTGACATTATCAAAATCTATTGAATAATTGCAATACATAAACATTTTCAAATTCTATTGAAATGCACGTTGTGAACTATTGAAATCTGTGAAGAATGATAAATAAATTTGAGTGGGAAAATGGGATATTATTAGGTCAGACAGATATATCTACAGAAATCGATATATAACATGTAGTTGGTAGAATATTGGATAGCAATCATGTTCTGATTTACGTATTAATAATATTCCGCAGATTTTCGTTGTTGCCGTATGATAAGTACAAGTTTTTACCTATCGTTGCTATGGTAACAATAACTTTGTTAATGAGCAACACGTGTGCGTTATTATAGCTCAAGGAGGTAAACATATGATGGATTGTAATCAGAAACCTCCGCAGCGCGTGCGCCCTGCCAGTAAGGCTTATCAGTTATGTGTTGTGCGCCATATTTGGCAATGTCAATGGCGATGTATGTCGGGGGCGGTATAATAAATACACAGGTAGCTTATATCATAACAGTGTGCGTAGCAATACACAGGTAAATGAAACGTCATAATGTGTTCTACTCGAAAAAAGTAAACCTTACAGAAGTACAGATTAATTGAGCTAGAATCAATTAGATTCGCAAAATACTTAACAAAATATCCGAGACAGATCTAAATAAAACATTGCTATAACATAGCTGCACTTGTTTATTTAGATCAAGATACGTTGATGACATAGCTTTAAACCAAACTCTTTGGTCTGAATGGCTTAATTCTTTTTATGTACGCAATTTTATTATCTAAAAGATAAACTGATAAATTATTGACAATTAACATTTCTCTGAAGTCTTAGTTCATTTATTCAGTGACATTTTTTTGCAAAGTTTGAAGCCGTTCGATTGATAAATATTTTGATACAAAATAGTGATCATGTTTTTAATTTTTTATATCAATATTAATTACCATTTTTGAATCGAAAAAAAGAAAATAAATAAATGGATAAATACTATGAATGCTTGATATCAATGTTAAGTTAATTTAAAAATATTTGAATTTGAAGAAAAAGACTAAGACAAAGACAAAAAAAAACAACAACAAAAAACAACAACAACAACAAACAAACAAAAATAAATTAAATCTAAACCAATGACTTTTCGTATATAATTTGAAATTTCGTATACTAACTTTGAAGTATCTTTGAATTTTAAATATTGACTTTGACTTTTGGACATTTAATGTAACTTTTAATAATTTTGAATATTTTGACTTTGATTTTTGAATGTTATCTTTGAATTTCGATTTATGCAATCAAATCTAAACTTTGAATTTAATGCATTAATTTTGAATATCAAATACTTACCTTATTACTTTAACTTTCAGTTTGTTAACCTTGACTTTATGTTAACTAATCATATCGGAGTGTTTCGAAATAAAATCAATTGAACTTCAAATATTACTTTCGAAATGCAATAATTATCATTATTATCGAACTTTGCACCTAGAACTGGCAGTATAGTCTTTGAAGTTTAAACAATGATATTTTGTTTTTAAATTAGTTTAATAATTCCACGTTTTATGTTGTACAATTTGTTTTGTAAAAATCAATATTAGATAGTAAATATTAAATTGGAATTTAAAAATGAGTAAAAAAATAAAAAAATAAATAAATAAAAATAAATAAGTAAATTATATTAAGTACAATAAAACGATCTAATAGAATGAACGCATAAAATTCAGAAAAAGGAAAACATTTATTTGCATATTTATAATCTTAAAATATAAAACATTATCCAGAAAAAAGTAAAGGAATGCCTTATAGAATAAACACAGATTAAGAAAGGCTACTTATAATAAACACAAAATTAAAATAGCAACCGTATATAAGTTTGTATGGTAAAAAAACGAAAGGTAAAGTGCACTATAAACTGTTATTGTAAAACGCGCGATAACTTTCAAAGCACAGTTTTTGCGTTGATGCATAAGTTAGCATGCTTGTTTTTGTAGACTCCATATCAGATCATCTTCTGCTGATACCAGTTACGCTTTCTGTTTCCTGCATCTTTTTTCTGCGTACATTTGTTATCAGACACTTTCGAATGTACATCTGTTTACGTACTGAAGCAATTTTAGATGTGCAGAAAAGTACACTGTTTTGCAGCGAATTTGATTTTATTAACTTTCACAAGACTAACATCATAAGATCTAAAGATATTAAGCACCAAATCGATGAAAAATGATGTTTCTGAGTATTTGTATTTGGTTCGTAGCATCGTAACTGTATACTTTACAATTTATTAAAATAGATCAAAAGAACTAGATAAAACATTTCGTTAAGAACTTAATTGAATGATAATCGTGCTCTTGTTTGTTTTTTCTGTGTGGTTCTTAGCATAGTTACTTTACATTGCAGACGTCCGTCAGTCCATTTTTATTATTTATTGAACATAGAATAAAACATTCCGTTTAGCACTAAATCGATTGAAAACTGTACTTTTGACTATTATTTTTTTGTGTGTTTGGTACTTAGCATAGTTACTTTACATTGCAGATGCCCGTGAGGTGTTCGACCTCTTCGATTTCTGGGATGGTCGTGACGGTGAGGTAGATGCCTTCAAATTAGGAGATCTCCTCAGATGTTTGGGACACAACCCAACCAACGCTATTGTATCAAAGCACGGCGGTACCGAAAAGATGGGTAAGCATTTTTACAATATTTTTTTTGTACATTCCTCATATTAATTTGTATATAGGGCATTGTGTTTTGTGTTGAACCATTGACATTGCAACATCGTTGTGCTATGGATTTGACCAGCTTTGAATTCGGAACAGTCCATTGTTAATATTGGGGATTAAAGTATCAAAATACTATTAAAACTTTTCAGCCATTTACTGTAAAATCATTATTATTCGTTGGGCAGTTAAAATGCTCATTAACTTCATCACATATTGTGAAAGTATAAAAAATGATACACTTTTTACTGGATTAATTAATAGTTAATAGTATGCACTCAAATTATAGTCAATTCAAAATCATAAGCGACGCATCAGTTACAAGTAAAGACTTTAAATGTTATTTCATGTCATATTATGGTAACGTTATTAAAAAACATAAAAGAATGTTTTCAACACAACGTAAATGGTTCCGGCTTTCAAACATAGAAGCATCACTTAACTACTGCCTCACTTAACTACTGCCAACAAATAAACTCACTTTTATAAGTATATACCCGTGAATTTCGGTTACCTGATGGAGACAACTTTATACATATCTACATGCCATGAATTAACCTCTTTATTTTTATTTCAACAGGAGAGAAATCATACAAATTTGAAGAGTTCATTCCATTGTACAAAGAATTGATGAATGAGAAGGATACAGGAACTTTCGCTGACTTCATGGAAGCTTTCAAGACCTTCGACAGAGAAGGCCAGGGTTTCATTTCCGGCGCTGAACTTAGACATCTTCTCACATCCCTCGGTAAGTTTGAATGTCGAATGTCGCAGTGGCCCTGCAATGGTTACACTGTGGTCTCTATCAAGTCTAAGTGATGGCGGATGCCTTTAATTAGACTAAATCTCCACTTATTGTCTTCTTTATGGTTAGCAATGTGAACATAGCAGTGTTTTATGATACGGACACTTTCAAAGTCAGCTTATTCCTTTATTTTGAATATTTTTAATTCAGTATTATATTGCCTACGTCTACACATCTATTTAACTTGTATATGTTAATTTAAGATATAAGATAGCATAACTTTAAAGATATTATACCATATCAAACATTATGCATTTTGTTTATGATAAATGTCGATGTGCACTAAATACTAGTAATGCTTCAATAATGTTAGCATTGACAGCGAGGCGTATCCTTTACTTTTGTCGGTAATTGAACAAGAAAATAATATTGTTATGCTTTCAAGTTACAATTATCAATGATAATTATACATTTTAGGTGAGAAATTGACCGACATGGAATGCGATGATATCTTGAGATATATTGACCTCACTGAAGATTTGGAGGGCAACGTCAAATATGAAGGTAAGTTGTAACACATCTTTAATAAAAGCATTCCACCAAAAGCAATAGGTATAATTAGCATTATATGGCATTATCTCTTTATAATTGACCAACATTGCGGCATTCTGAGATATGATGTTCAAATGTAATTATATCTACACGATAACAGATGTCATTTTTGGCAGTACCGCAAACAAGGGAACTGAAATTTAAATGTGATTTCACTTTAACATAAAGCAAAGGTTTCACGCAATTAGAAACTAAAACCTGAATTATTTTAACTTAATTTTTTTATATCTACTCACCATTTAATTCATTGTCGTAAGTTGTCCACATTTGATAACACACTTTTTTCTTTTTCTTTCAGAGTGCATCAACAAAGTGATGGCTGGACCCAACTAAGTAAAAAAGACAAACAAACAAAAACTTTTTATAAAATCTACACATCCAAGAAATCATCTTTCATTTTAGTAACATGTCAAAATTCCAGTGTAAAAAGGCATTCGGGTGATAACACCTAGACACAATTCGTAATTTCGTAAAAAGGCGACCCCAGAACTAGGAGCTCCTACAATGTCAAGGACGGACTTACATGTCACGTGACCCAACTGAAGATAAAAATAGTAACATCCAGACAATTTCTTTAAAAATAGAATTTTAGCCTCGTTTTGAAGATCTGTGTAAATTCAACTTTTGTAAATCCGTTCTTGCAACACAATGTTTATAAAGGCCGCAATTTGCCGTGTGTAATTGTTTATATTTGTTGATTTACTGTTATTTATTTTAACATTTAAAACATCTTTAACCGGTACCGGTTACAGCTGAGAGTTATAATCACGTGACGTGTTGTCACGTGGTGTTATACTGAGACTGTGATTGGTGAATGAATGTTGATCGAGAAAAGAAACGAGGAAAACATCAAAATATGGGTATCCCTTAAAAATCCTCGGTGTGCAATATAGCAGTGATTAAAAATTTATTTAATAATATATTTTCCCAAACTAAGAATTGGAGTTTGTTATATATATCTTTCCCCTTTTCCTATCAGGTATACGTGTATTTAAATCCTTTTTCTATAAGAGCAATGCGTTATAAATTTGAGTGTGTTTTATACCATACCAAGAAATTATACAACATGGAAACTGTAGTCTGAAGATTAAAAAATTGTGTCGGTAAAGAGCTCGACTCTTCAGACAATTTTAAAATCTGGCACAACTGTGAAAAGATTGAAAAAAAATGGCTGATACTGAATTCAAACGAACATTGCAGTCGTCAAAGTCTGTCTGCATGCCTGGGAGTAGCTTTACGATGTATTCGTTATTTGTGAATAAACCCATTTTTACATTTTATTTTAATTATTAGAATTAATTATTTTAATAGGTAGCATAGTATACTCAGTTCAAATACATGTACTTCGAAATAAGAAGAAAGTAGAGAAGTACAACACGTCGACACCAAAGCTGGTTAAAAATATTTATTCTTTATCGGTTTCGGTTCTATCGAACCTTGGAATACTTATACAAAACTTATCTCTTATGAATGTATGGCAACCATTTGTTTGGCCCCTTTTATGTCCCCGAAGGATGGCATACAGTTTTATAATTATAGTAACCTTGTCTGTCTTATGTGGCTGCAGGAACAAAAGGTAACTGTAATTTTTCCTCGATGCCCATTGTTGCATATGAACTTGCTTTTGCAAATCTTTTTTCAATATTATGGTTTAAAAAGCAATATAGAGAACAACTGAGCAGTCACATTTATAAATATCCTCGTCTTTCTATATGTCTGACCTTTTTGCCCGGGTCAAAGATTTGTCATTCATAAATAAAAATTGAAGGAAATGTCGGAAAAAAGAGAGAAGAAAAGAAAATGTGATCGAGAAAAGTCGATGTTACGATGATAAAAAGTCGAAATTACGATGGTGAAAAGTCAAAACAACGAAACAACGATAGTGAAACGTCGAAAGTATGATGGCGAAAACACGAAATTATATCGAGTTATTTCGACTTTTCATCATTGTACCTTCGACTTATGACGATTATTGATTCTTTCTTTCTCGACATTTCACCATTACAATTTCGTGTTTTCGTTATTTCGATGTAACGGATCACTATATGAAACGGACTGGCACAGATGGATGTTAAGACGCGTTTTGTCTATTCAAGCTTAAGTGTACAAATTTGATTCGTTTTGCATGTGGTCAAATAAAAATGGCGTTAGCTTAATGTTTTAATATATTATATTTTTTTCTCTTCATAAAAATGTCAAGAATGACTGTTGTCAATCCGCTAGGTACCTAACAAGGCTCTCGGCGTCAAGTTTAGTATTAAACACTTTGCAAAGGCTATGGATATCTTTTTCATCGGATTTAGGGTAAATATTTAAAGTTATGACAAGGTTCATTTCATTAATAATTCATTACAATTTATTACCACAAAAACAACACACTTTATTTTGTATATCTCGTACATTTAACTGTCATTAATATCATTTTCTCTAACAAATTTTGAAGGAAGTTCACAGTTTAAACATAATAAAAACGTCATTGTCTGAAAACTAGGACACCGAACGTTATTAGTCAACCAAAATTATGAAGGAAAATATTTTTGTACTTTCAAGTGAGCAATAAATCATAATATATTGTTAAAGAAACTCAGCTGTTTTGTTGACTTCGTGTCACTAGATGTAGTAAAATACTAGTACCACACAGGACTGACTGTATTGATTTAAACAATTTAATTTTATACTAGATCACAAACTGGGGGGAAAGACACTAATATGTTATTCTTTTGGGATGTCTGCGGAGAAACAATTCATCATTTAAACGGGTTGCCAAAACCAATATTTAATTTTAAGTTTTAAAGTAAATTAAAAATAAACAGCCATTCAATAAAAAGAAATAAGTAAACAATGCCTGGAATTGTCTACACGTTACTTTCTGACTATTCAAATCCCTTACAATGCAGACGTTGAATCTACAATAAATTTACAGTTTCGAAATTTATACTAATTCTAGAAACGGTTCGTATTAGAGATAGTTAACGTTTTAATCATTGTGGCGTGGCGTATTTAATAGTGATCCATTTTAGTATAAAAAGAATTTCTGACTTTGTTAATAAATATCTTTTTATAATAACGCATGTGTGTAATGTATGTAAATGATAATTAGAAATTTTATTTTTGCGCATATTTTGTCGATTGTAATGCTTTGCAAAGAACGGGCCTAGGGTTACATTTTGTATATCAAAATGTTTCGATACCATAGCATATAACAGGCATTTAAAAGCAAGATAAAAGTAAACAGTGCCAGGAATTGTCTACACGATATTTTGTATATTCGATCAAATCCCTGACTATACAGAAGGTAGATCTACATTATATTTACAGTTTCAAAATGTATACTAAATCAAGAAACGGTTCGTATTGATGATACACAAGTAAGATAAGTTAATATTTTAATCATTAAGGCGTATCAAGTATTGATTTCTCTTGACATAAAGAATTTCTTTAATTGTTTATATTTTGTATAAAGACAAAACACCATGGCGATGTACGTATTTGATATTTTGGAATTTTATTTTTGCGCAAAATATGTCACCTGTAATGCTTTTCAATAAACAGACCTAGGGTTATATTTTATATAAGGAAATGTCTCGATACCGTAGTATATAAGATAACGTCAGAACATTTTCTACGATATCAACTGCTCGACTTTGTTATTTTGATATTCAAATCATTGAACTGAACAAGTCAGATGTCAATCTACTATAGGTTACTTAAGCCCTGAAAGGTGTGTAGAATGATCGACATATGAAGATATTTGCTGTCTGACATTTATATTCTATGAACATTTTGAATAAGCATGTCTGGCGCTTTTATGTAAAAAATGAAAAGGGCGATCCCCTGCAAGCAATGTAAACAATATTATATTAGAAATACAATCTCGGTTTGATTGAGTCTGTTCATGAGAGAAAATGTAAATGTGCAACATCTGTCACGCCCCCTTACACCGGCTTTAGCGATATTAAATCTTTGAAAGCGGTATTCAATCTCCAAAAGTCCATTGTCCTGAAGGATAAGAAACTTGTCATTAACGTATACATTTTCCCCAAACATTGTTATAATGCAATGATTTATATTTAAAGCGAAATATTTAATATAATTGTAGGGATAACTGTATGCTTTAACTTTTACAAAAACAAAAACTTTGTAGATTAAACTGAATGCTCCAGACTGACTTATCTTTTTGACATGCTGGTCCATGCCACAAAAAGAAAAGAAGAAAAAAATAGAAAAAAAACCTGTAACGAATATAAATTAAGGAATGTCACTTCCAGACAGGTTAACTAGGCATGTAAGAATGTCGTCTGGAGCAGAAACTTGTCTTATCCACGCCTTTTTACCATGTAGAAAATTAAGTTTGAATAAGTATGTCTGACAAGCTCATTTTGTTTGAAGTCTTTGAGCGAACTTGTCACGTAAAGTATGTACTTTTCGATTTCGCTGACAAGTCCCTTTTCCCTTCCTAAGTATATACATTTTCTTAGAGTAATAACCGTCTTACTTCAGTTCATACGAGACAAAATATTTTTGAATTATAGAAATCTTGTTTTTTAAACATATTTATTGGTCCACGACATTTTGTAAAAAAACAGAACAAAAACGTACCTAGATCAGACTAGCAGAATATTGTTTTTAACATTCAAAAGCAACACATTTATTTGGCATAGAGCTCACACAGAAAAATCTTGATTTTAACATTTAAAAGCAACACATTTATTTGGCATAGAAAATCACACAGAAGTATTAATTTAATTGTATGTTGCGGAAATATCATTGTTTGAATCATTTGCCCAAATCATAATGGAGGATAATGGAGGTTAACTTTCTCTATACTGACGCCCTCCCGAGATCGAGTATTAATTATGTTTGTCCTGCTTTCAAATTTAATAACATTTCATTGTCTAATTCCATAAACATGGTTTGGGAATGCAGCAGCCGAATGAGTTCTTGTCCAGTAGTGTTTAATGTTTCTGTTTCACTTAAGATTGTACATGACCCACTTTTCCTAGTTTGTAATAAATTTCTAGATGACAAAATCTATGACTTTAATGAACGGAACAGATATTTTATTTGAGACTTGTACAAAATGTCTTGAAACATGTCTGTTTTTTATTACAATATACGTTAACTGGAACATGCTGTTTTATTCCCAACTGTCATTAAAATTTCATATTTTTCTTTATTAAATATAAATCAAGCAATGGGGGTAACAATCGAGTAGTGGCAATCATCTACATTGAAATGAAAAAGTTCATACTTTTCACCGGAAGGAAAGTAAATCTTCATCAAAAATCAATTTGAAATATCTGTAATGGATACGAGTAAGAATTTTTTAAGTGTCAGTTGATATTAACACATGCTTTCTTTTTTTTCAGATCTAAGGTATTATCGTATGTTCCCGCTATTTTTTTCTGTTGTTTCTGATATGCGGAATTTAATATTTTTTCCTCCCTTTCTCGTCCACGTTACCGGCTTTCTTAGAGAACTAACCATAAATAACACATTTCCCCTATAAGATACATGTTTACCTCAAGTGAAATCAATTGCCACGGAGACATATCACCATGCCAGGGGATAAAGCCAGCGACCCCTCCGAATATTAATCCGCTGTTCTCCCTATTGAGCTAGGAGGTCGGACGTTCCAATGTTAAAATGTTAAAACAATATCTCCGCTGAGGCGGGACAATATAAATTTCAGGGACAAAAATTCACTATACCTGCCATGTGACAATTTTCCATGTTATAACATAAATTATTGAAACAGGTCTAACGTAGAATGTTATTATATACAAACTAAGATCACAGATGTCTGTCAAGAAATGGTCAGATCAGTTTATAAAGCAACTTCAACGCCAACAATTCGCCTTTTCCATAAAAAAATGTTGTTGACAGCTCAGAAAATCGAAGGACAATATTTTAGCTGCTTCCTTTGATCAAGAAGGTTG